AGAAGCCTTAGAAATTTGCCCTTACAACCCTCAACACCGAATCCCACTCAGAAGATTTCAATACCACCTGGCGTCATGCAGGAGAAAGAACCCCCAAAAAGCCAAAAAGATGGCCAGCTGCAAATACAACGCCTGCCACGTGTTCCCCATCAAAAAGCTGGAGGAGCATGAGGCTGCCTGTGTCAACAGAAGCACAGTGGAGGAAGAGGACAGCTTGAGCCCTCTGAAGTTCAGCCTTCCGAGTTCAGAGCAGAACGGAAACACCCCTCCAGTGTCCCGCCGGCTTCCCAACTCCGACGTCTGGAATGTAGATAGCACGAATTGCCACCCCATGTTTGTCCTTAAGACTTTTGTTCCCCAAAACCTTACTTGTGAAAGCGACGCGACAGAGTCGGAGAGAGAGGACCACACCCCATCCCTGACCCACCCCGCAGAAAGAAGATCATCAGACCAGGAGAGTAAACCGCCAGCCACAGAAAGGAGATGCAGGCCTCTTAAATGCATGAAAGGAGATGCAACTCACCAGAATAAAAGGCGTACAAAGTAAACTACAGTGGGATGCTTTTCTTTTACCTAACAGATAGGTTTAATAACACTCTGCTGACAAAAATGGGACAAAATGGGCACTTTCATAACATTGGTAAGAGAACGTAAGTTGGTAAACTTCCCTGGAGGGCAATTTGACAATAGCTATAAAAACTATCAACGTGATGAAGTAATTCTACTTCTGGGTTTTCATCCTGTAATATATTCACACATGTGGACAATGAGGTAAGTACAAGGGTATTCATGGCAGCATTATGTGTAGCAGCAAAAGGTCGGAACTGATCTAAATATCCATTGGGAGTATTTGATTAAATAAATTATGGTGCCGCCATGTGAAGAAATAGTATGCTCCCGTGAAAAAGAGCGAGGACGCTCTTTCCGTAAGACGTGGAAAGGCTAAGACATGTTGTTTAACTCAGAGACGAGCACACTTTTTCTATAAAAGGCCAGAGAGTAAATATTTCAGGCTTTGAGTCATATGGTCTCTGTCACAACTATTTGGCTCTGCCTTGGTAACATGACAGCAGCCATAGGAAATATGTAGACCATGGACAGAACTGTTTACAGAAACCGGTGATGGGCTGGATTTGGCCTGTGGTCTATTGTATGCCAAGCCCTACTGCAACTGATGAAAGCCAAGTCCATGCCACTGTTTTTGTTTTCACCTACTTCCTATGTGGCAGTTCTCTAGTCCAAGCATTTTATTAACCATGGAATTTCAAAAACAGACGGTTACACGAAACAGGGCACTAAAGTGCTGGCCTTAACTGGGCTCAAGTCCTGACTTGACCACGTTCTAGTAACTTCTGCTCAGAACAGTCAACTGAAACATGGACACTAACTTCTCCTTTGCAGCGTTCTTGTGCACAGAAAGAAATGAGAAAGCATTTTGTAATAATATTGTAAGAGCCCATGTTTTCTGAGCCCCAAGTGTGTGCCAGTGTTCTATCCAACCCCTTCAACAACTCTGGAAGGTTAGGGGTTCTCCCATTTTATAGCCAAGAACTCCAAGGCTCAGAGCAGGAAAGAGCCAGGCTGGGATTCACATCCAGGTCTGTCTGATCCAAAGTCAGAGCTTTATCCATGGCTGCCAGGAAACCCCTGGAAAGCTTGCCAGATGTCCTGGGTAACAATCAAGACACAGGCATCGTCACAGTGACTCTGGATTCCGGAATCCTTCCTCCCACTTATTTCCAACAAAGTTCCTAGTCTCCTAAGTTCCTCCTCCACGCTGTTGAGCCCACCGTGCACTGTTCATTTCCTCAGGGTTCTTTAGCTGACACAAGCTACCTTCCTATCGGCTAGTTATTGTCACATTAATGCTGTGTAACAAAACACTCCAACATTCAGTGGCTTCAGACAACATTCTTATCATGTGTCATTTGGGGGTTGGCTAATCTAGGTCCACAAAAAAAAGCAGAAAACAGAAAAAAGGGACACCGCCACCAGTGCCTGCAGACCTCACGTTTCTTCCCAGTGCATAACACTGACAGAATTGATGATATGCTTGACCAGAAAAGGCAAATTTCAACACATTTCAAAGATTTGAAGCCACAGAGGCTCTCCTCCCTGAACACAGAAGAATTAAGCTAGGAATCAACACTAAAAAACCATGAAGGCTTCCCTACCCGTCTAGTCCTAGCTGCCCTAGGCTTCCCTCTTGGCCACATCACATCATGGCAGGATGAGGTATCAATCAGCACCTACTGGGTACCAGGCCTGCTACTCAGGGAGGACATCCCCCATGCCTTTCTGAAGAGCATTTGAGACTCAGGCTCAGTACCTGTCGTTGTCAGACTGTCCCGTTCATTACGTACTATAACCTAAATACCTATAGGTCAGCCCTAGTTAATATACAAGTAAAACAGCATCCTGACCAGCTTGAGACCACCGGTCTGTATCAGTGAAAAGTTCGATTTTCAACTCATATCGAAACTCGGCTTTAGTTGCTCTCAAACACATCCAGCCAAGGGTGGAAACATAAAATCTATCTTAGAGGGGGTAAATCACTGTCATTACTGCATCAGAGCCTTGGTGATCTCTGGAAATAGCTGGAACATAGAAAAGATTCTCACTGGGGTCTTCTGAGAAAGTGGCTCATTCAAGCAATCACACTCCCAAGCGTATCCTGGCCTATCAGCTACCTGTCCTGAGAGCCTGATTTCCCCACCAACCAGCTTTCCGATTGCTTTTAGAGCCACCTCTCCCCTTCAGTGGAGGAGTTCAAGCAAAGGCCAGACAAGTGCTTGATGTGGATGCTGAAGAAGGGGCCTGAAAATCGGAAAAATGCTTCAAAGACCTACCAAGAACTTCAAGAAACTTCTATGGCTCACTTTACCTGCTGCTGCAAACACACCAATGGACACCAGGTGGCGATAGAGTCGCACCATCCTTGCAAAGGCTCCCAGTTTTTCGGCAAGTACCCAAACCTAATTGAAACAAAACATAAACTCAAAATAAGAAAAAAATAGGAATTCCATACGATCCATGACTCTCACTGCTGGGCATTTAGATTGGCACCTCGGCTCCTTGCTGGCTATTTCCCTCTTGCTTGTCACTCTGGCCTGGAAAACGCCGGGCTCCGGATGAGCCGGGATAGTCAAGTTCCCCAGGCTGCAGGCCCTGCTGGAGCGCTGTGGCCCCCAATCTCATGGTCAAACCACAGCAGGGCCCTCAGCACCCTTGCAGTGGCACCCAATCCACCCTTCCCAAGTGGGCTCCTCCCTCCCTGTCCACACGGTGGACAGACCTTCTCTCAAACCTACCTCTTAGCAGACAGCCCAGCCCCCATATTGCTCCTCTGCTGTTTTTTTGGAGCCCCTGTTGCCTCTGGCATGTTATATAGAGTCTAAGCTCCAGAAGATTAAGGTTGTTTGCAGGTGGAGTCGGGTGGGGTATTTTTCTTTTTTCTTTTTTGCTCTCGTATCCTCAACACCAGAAAGAACCATGCCTCATCCGAAGCTGGGGGAGGGAGGGCAGTGGTTGGAGGGACCCTGGATGTGTGTTTATTTCAGGCACAAAGCAGAGAACAGCCCCAGGGCAAGCTAACAGGTCTGCAGTGACTGCAGCCACCTTGCTTGGGGGACAGGTGAGAGCCTCAGGGTAAAGCCCCAGTGGGTGGGGAGGACAGTGGGGAGGGCGTCGCTGGGCAGACGCCCCTGGCAGGTTGCAGGCCAGTCCACTGTGAATCACCCCCAGGAGCTTATGATGACCCCAGGGGGTGGGGAATCCCAAGTGGTCCCCAGGCATGCTGCATCTGGGTCTGACGTGGATGTTCCACAGTATGACCTCCTAGAGACAAAGGTATCCCCCTGCCCCCACCCTCACTGCAGGGCAGGTCGCCCATCAATGCCAACAGCCCTGTGGGGAGCAGTCAGTGACAGCGCCTGGGTCACCAGAGGAAGGGATCTGGAGGTGGGCAGAGGGGCGTCCGGGCCAAGAAATCAGCAAATGCACAGGGGCGTGAAGCTGGCATGGCCCAGCCATGGGATTGGCTGGAGTGTCCAGCTCAGCCACGTGGGCAGGAGGCAGGTGGGAAGGGTAGAGGCCCGTCACAGGTCTCAAACGGGGACCAGGACGCAGCCAGGCTCAAACCAGGCTTGGCTATGTGTGACCAATGGGGGCTGCCTGGGGAAGGCTGTCAATGCTGTCACAGAACTCTGTGTGCAGCCGACAGGACAGGGCTGTGTCGGAGTCAGGCAGACTTGAACCCTGGCGTCCTAACTCCCAGTCCTCTCTTTAGAGGCTGGAGACCCCAGGGAAGAGGACCTGCCCCCAAGTCTCTCTTGGGAACCAGAGGCACTGAAGCAGGGTGTGGATACCGGGCTGCCCAGACAGATGCCGTCCTGCGGTGAACTGAGACCGCAGCCCCCAGGGATGGTCACATGCCCTGTCCGATGGACCCCACTGCTGAAAACATCACTCCCTGATTTAGACCCCTCTAAATCAGACACATGCCCCTCTTCAGTCCCCAGGGACTCTTCCCGGCCACCAGTCAAGTGCCACAGTCTGTGCACTGGGCTATGACCAGGGTCCAGAGCCCAGGCTGGAACTGCTGCCTTAGCCTTGGGAAGTTAGGGCCACCATGGCCAGAAGGTTCTGCCCACCTGCCAGTCACTCCTTGTTTACCAGCCTGATCTGGGGGTGGGGCTCATCACAGGCCAGTTCAGCCAACCACCACCCACAGCAAGGGCCAACCACTGCCCCACCCCTTCCCCAAGTCCTCAGAGCTTTGAGAAACACCCACAGGGTACAGAGAAAACTGCCTCCAGCACATTGGGTCCCTGGGGGCAACAGAGTCCAGAGACCCAGGCCTGGGCTGTGCAGACAAGGTTGCACTCCAAGGATGAGGGCCCTGGTCCCCGCATCCCTCAGGGCCCTAAGGACAGTCACCAGGGAAGCACTGTCACCAGGGAACCACGAGCAGGATCCAGGAGAAAGGTGGGGTCCAGAGCACAGGAGAAAAACAACTTTTATTCTTTCAAGAAAATGTAACAACTGGTTGAAGGAAGGAGCACGCTGGCCACATCCCCTGTCCTAAGCAGGGGTCTGAGATGAGGCCAGGCCTGACCAGGGCTTGGGAGAAGCTAACGGGGCTCCCTGTGGCACTGGGGGGAGGGCTGGGCCAGCTCAGAGGTGGGACTTTGTTCTGTTAGCACCAGGAATCGCCCGCAGCTGCAGCCGGACTCGGAGACAGGACAGTGGGTGGCCCTGCTCTGTCTCCACCTGAGCAGTCTGGGGAGGGACCGGCAGCAGAAGGCTCCCTGCAGGCGGTCATCTTTGTGTGATTCTCAAATTCACAGCCTAGACTCGGCCCCCCAGCCCCCTGTAAACATGAGAATGGGCTCGTGACTGCCAAGCCCCTAAGACAAGATAAGGGTCCGAGATGTGTGGCTGGGCTTCAGGCGGCCCAGGAGCTGCCGGGCTTTCTCCTGCATGAAGAGCTGGTCCCTGGTCCCCCCACAGGCCACCATCTTCCAGGCGCTGGTCATCTGGGAGGAGGCAAAAGGGTTACCATACAGGCAGGGGCAGCGTGCTCCCAGGGAAGCCTGGCGACTATGGTCGGGGAGGGGTGGGGACATTTCTATGACGCTCCCTCCCTCTAGAAGCCACAAGTCTTTCTGTGCTCACTGCACCTTCCTGGTGGACCTGGGAAAGTCACTCCCATCTCTGGGAGTCCTCAGATGTAGAGCAAGGAGGCTGGACCAGGACACAAGCCCCCCCACCCCCACCCCTACTACGCGGCACCAGCCTCTGCATGAGGAAAAGCTACAGCCACGCAGGCTGGTGAGGAGCAGAGAGGGGTTGACCTGTGCAGATGGTGAGAGGAGCAGGCAGGGCACCCCTGCCTTCAAGGACAGAAGTCACAGAGACAGTGTCTTAATTACAAGTGAGGCCACATCATGAAGGTGGGGCTTAGTGGAGGGCGTGGTCTCTAGTACACAGATTCCCTGAGGGAGTGACGTCTGGACAGAGATGTGAAGCCTAGGTTAATCAGGAAGAGGCAAAGCCTGTGCAAAGGCCCTGAGGTGTGAAGCGCACAAAGCAAGGGTCCAAGGAGGATGCACTCACAGGGGCAGGAGTTAGAAAGTGGCCTCGGGGCTTCTGGGCCGCCGGCTTCTCGGGCTTGGCCTGCAGGAAGCCCTCATTGAGCAGGCTGCTGTCCTCTCTGCTGCCCGACGGGGTGAGGCCAGAGGAGCCTGGTGGGATGTTGGTTGGCTGAAACCAAAACCAAATTGAAGGCTCAACATTTTGCCATGAGCTCTTTGTGGGAAGGAGAAAACAAAACAGCAGGCACATTCCAGCACCACCACCTCTGTTGGGACCTTGGGCAGGATATTCCTTCTCTAAGCCTCAGTTTCCTCTTCCAGATGGGAGTTCATTTAAAGATTCAGTAGGAAAACAGTTGTAAAGTGCCTGTTTCAGAGCCTGGCACCTAGTAAACGCCCAATAATGCTGGTGCCTTTTTACACGAATCTGGTTCCTCCCCGTCGCAGGTGGAGACGAAGATGCTCCAGCTTCTCCTGGGACCAGAAACACCCACAGAGGTGCCGGCGTCGACTAGAACTCACTGGGAGCTGCACAAAGCACTCCAGGACTCCCGGAGAGGCCTTTACCCTCCTAACAGCCTACTGGGCTCAGTGCCCTCATTAAAGGCAAGAACCTGAGGCTCAGGGACCTAAGAGATGCCAAAGACCAGGGCCCGGTGTCAGGACTCACCCTAGGCCCCCCACTCCACCTCCTCTGCTCTTAACCACTTGCCCTAACTTTTTCTCTTTCTGCTAATTATTTTACTTGCCCAAGGTGATGCTGGCTGCAGGTCTGGCTGGCGGGCACTAAGTCCCCAGCCTGGCGGGGATGCCTGGCCAAAGGGAGGTTTGTCTGCACGGGCTATGAGAGCAGCAGGCGCACCTGCAGGATCTAGTCAGGCAAACCTGTCTCATGAGCTCTGCCACAGCCCTCACTGTCTGCTACCAGCGGAAGACGGGCTCACCCCACTGTCTGCTGCAAGGGATCTCTAGAATGGCATGGTTTCTGGGGCCCAGGCTCTGTGTAGGCAGCAGCCCCCTTGCTGGAGGTTGGCCTGGGAACTGGGAAGCACCCATGCCACAGCTGAGGTGCCCCAATCCCCTGGCTATGCCCTGAGGCACGTCACCGACACTCTCCTGGGTCACCCTCGGGAGCAGAATGAAAGGGAAGGCGCTGGGAACTCAGAAACCACTGCTGTCAAACGGGTTCTAGCAAAGCAACTCTTGCCAAATAAACCTTTCTGTGAAAGACACAAGCAGGGCTGTCTGGACTGAAGCCAGGTGGGTGGTGCCCAGCTGCCCCCTCCCTGCTGAGCCCGGCACGTGGAAGCCCAGCCCGAGAATCACCGGACTCCATCTCCAGGGTCCTCTCCAGGCTAAAGGGCTCAAGAGGCGAAGACCCCCAGGGAGACTCCATTCCCCCAGCCTCCTGCAGCTCAGTTGGGGAGTAGCAGGTGGCCTCACAGGATGGCTTCTCTCCCAGACCCCTTACCAAAGGCAGAGCCTTGGGCAGCGTGGACATCATCAGCTTCACATCCTCATCCACAATGTCAAGGGCCAGGGACTTGCGGACTTTCTTGATGGGGCTTCGCCGCAGCTGGGGGAGGAGGAGGTGCTTAGGGCAGGCGTTTGGATTCCCCGGGTCACCACCAGCACCTGATGACGCCTGCCTCAGCTGCCCTGGTCACAGAACCAGGCCCTGGTGCAGGGGAGTCCTTGAGCATGCCCGGCTGGCGAGGATTTTCTGGGGGCGGGCGGGGTGGGGGGGACCGGGACACTTTGGCCCTGATGCAGACTCTGCCCACAGAGCAGACTGCCCTGCCAGATGCTCAGTGTTTGTACTGAGGACACCAACGCCACCCTCCACCCAACCTCATCCCCAAAGGGACCAAGCGCAGCCCCCAAGTCTCTACTGCACGAAACACTCCCCTAAACAGCCAAGTTACAGCTAAAACACCTACCTGCAGGTGAGTGACATGGAGATGTGGGACCCCACAGGACACAGGTGTTAAAGGAATGTTCAGCCCCACCCCCGCACTTCCTATAAGCAGGCCAGGGGTCAGCTCCAATGCCAGGGAGGGGCTCTGAGACTAGTACTCACCCTCCAACCCAGCACTGTGCCCCAAACAGGTGCCACCGCGGCTCAGAACCACCTTCAGACACAGAGAGGCCACGGAGGGTCCCAGCCATGCTCTACGTACACGCCCAGGGGCCCAGCCCAGTGGGTCCCTCCCAGCCTGGCCACCCACCTTCCCACCCACCCTCTACCCCGGCACACTCCCATCTTCCTTGCTCCCCAGGAGAGCACCTGGGAAGAAAGGGGCACAAAGACAGAGGGGACATGGAGCCACCTGCTGTTGGGAAACCCCACATGCCAGGCAGCGGGAGAGCTTGTCCAGTATGGCCCGGCCCTGCCCAGAGCAGCTCCCCACCTCACCGTAGCCCACTGTCCCCAACCTGCTCATGCAGCCAGGACACCTGGCTGGCTCCATACCAAGGATTTCCCTTGAGATCCTCAGTGTGCCCTTTCTGCCCCCGTAACACCGTATGTATCGAGGCACTGGGGTGTCTGCCGTTTCCACCCACTGCACTCCTGGAGGGAGCGACCACTCTGGGTCTTGCTCACTGTTCTGACGCCCCCCCCAGCCCAGAGCCCGCTTCAGAGGGGTCCAAACAGTGCTGAATAACTAAGGCACCAGTTCAAAGGGGAAGAGGGAAGGGTCCCAGGCACCAAGGCCTTACGTTGGTTGGTTTCACGGACAACCACTCTGCAGGAACAAAGGGCCGGGGCCACAGTTCCACTTCCCCCGGTGCCTTATGTCTACCAGACCCGCTCCCCGCTCCGCCAGCCACTCACCCCAGCCTTCCTCTTCTGCTTCTCGGGCCTCACTTCGTCCTCAATGATGAGCTCGATGCCGGCCTCGGAGCGCAGCACCTCCTTCAAGTCCTCCTCCAGGTGCGGGGTCTGGGGCTACAGGCAGGGATGTGAGTGAGGCCCTGCACCCAGGCCGTAGGACACAGGTAGAGCCTGCTCACGGGAGCGGCGGGGCAGACCCAGGCAACGCAGGGAGGAGGCCCAGTGCCGGGACATTGGCCTCACACACAGTATCCATGGCCACTAACTGTCCTGCCTGGGACACTGGCCTCTGCTCACTGAGAGCCGCACAGGCCCGGAGTGTCCCCACTTGACCACAGCCAACCTCACACAACCCGGGGAAATAGCTGTCTACCTCTTCCACGAGGTAGAAACGGAGGCTCAGAGAGGGCGAGACCCCAGCCCAAGGCCACACAGCTGTGAGGTTAGAACCCGGATGCGCTCAAAACCCTAACTCCTTCACTCCTTGATCCCACAGTAACGGGGACGTTGATTCCATTTCCCTTTCTCGGGCCTGGGGGCTCAGGCGGCAGAAACCAGGGGAGGGAGAGAGCTACTGAGCAGCAGGTGTAGGGTACAGTAACACCCGAGAAGTCACTCTAAAAGCCCCCATGTGGGCTCCCCTGGTGGCACAGTGGTTAAGAATCCGCCTGCCAATGCAGGGGACACGGGTTCGAGCCCTGGTCCGGGAAGATCCCACATGCCGCGGAGCAACTAAGCCCAGGCGCCACAACTACTAAGCATGTGAGCCACAACTACTGAGCCCGCGTGCCGCAACTACTTAAGTCCATGCGCCTAGAACCCACGCTCCACAAGAGAAGCCACCGCAATGAGAAGCCCGTGCACAGCAACGAAGAGTAGCTCCCGCTCGCCGCAACTAGAGAAAGCCCGCGTGCAGCCACGAAGACCCAACGCAGCCAAAAATAAATAAATTAATAAATTAATTTTTTAAAATAAAATAAAAGCCCCCATGTACTTGAACTATCGCTGCCAAGGGCAGATTCACCCTCCAGCCGTGCCTGGAGAGCACACAGATCTCTTAGTATCCGGGAGCCGAACCCCACTCAGACAGGAAAGGGCAGTGCTGACTGGGGCCTGGCCTGGGGCCTGTGCAACTCCACCAGCTGCATCCCAGTATGGGGAGACCACGGCCCCACCACGCAGACCCCACGTGGTGAGCACGGAGGGGAGCTCACTGAAGGCTTTGTCCACAGGAAATGCTTCTCCACAACCTGCCTTTCTCCCACCTTCAGCTGGTTTCTAAGACACAGCTTATTTCGGAAAACCCGGGGTGCCAGCTCTCTCTTTCGCCCTTGGGGAAAGCAGGACCGTCCCACGAACCAGGAAGAGTCAGGGGAGGAGGGCTGTTCTCACACTGCTGGGGAAGCACGCGAGGAGGTGTCTCCTCACTGGCGAGCCATCTCCAGCCCACCCGAGTGCTTTCCCGTGTTTTGCAAAGGACAGGCAGTTGGTCAAAAGGCTTCGGTTTGAGGAGCAATTCGCCACTTTCCCGAACCAGCCCCAGCGCCCGAGCAAGTCCTTCTCCGCCCCAACTCCTGCCCATGTTCTGCTTGGCATGGCCATGTGCCGAGTATTTAGTCATTTATGCACTTACGTGCTGAATGCCAGCTTCCACCACCCCAAACTCCCAGCTTCACCAGGACACCACTGTGGCTCCAGCACCCAGCACCGCCTGGCACGTGGCAGCTGCTCAAGAGAGGTCTGATGAACTGGTAACTCCACCCTGGGGGCCCCATTTGTAAAACTAGGGTATCTGCAACTTCTCAAGGCTGTTGGGAGAATCTAATGAGATCTCAGAGGGACGGGGCCCTGTGAACCGTAGACGGCTGGAGGACCAGCCCGGCCGTACCACGTACCAGGGGCTTTAGTGGTCCATACTTCTCCAGGGCGTTCTTGAACGGGGTCGGTGTGTGAGGAGTGCTGTCCCTGGAGTACTTCTGATCTGGGGTTACAAACCTGCCGGGGACAGAAGAGGCAGCTTCACGACAGGGCTGGGGGCAGACACCAGCTGGTCTGCTGCAGGCTGCCCGTGAGTCCCGCACCGCCCTCCACCAGACCTCTGCCTCAGCAGCAGGGAGGCCACCCCCGGACACAGTCTCTTCCCATCACACTTGCCCACACACCCACCTCCCCACCCCCGAAGGGAGTTACGGGGGCTGAGAGGGAGGGCTATCCTCAGAAACGGGAAAGAG